ATCATCATCATCATCATCATCATCATCATCATCATCATCATCATCATCGTCATCGTCATCGTCATCGTAATCAGCATTGTCATCATCACCATCATCGTCATCATCATCGTCGTCATCGTCGTCATCATCATCATCATCACCATCATCACCATCATCATCGTCCTCATCATCGTCACCATTATCGCAATCAGTTTCGGCACACACCTCACACGTTTCGTGGCCACATAGGATAGGTAGCTCCATCTAAGGTCCCAGTGGCGCAGTCCGCATGGCGGCGGCGCCCCATTTTGGCACACCCCTCACACGTTTCGTGGCCCTGTAGAGAGCTCCACCGAAGGTCCCTGTGTCGCAGTCCGCATGGCGGCGGCGCCCCATTTTGGCACACCCTCACACGATTCGTGGCCCCAAAGGGAGGTCCACCGAAGGTCCCTGTGTCGCAGTCCGCATGGCGGCGGCGCCCCATTTTGGCACGCCCCTCAAACGTTTCGCGGCACCACAAGGAACTCCACCTCAGGTGCTAGTGGCGCAATCCGCATGGCGGCGCCGTCCCAGTTCGGCACACCTCTCACACGTATCGTGGCCCCATAGGGAGCTCCACCTAAGGTCCCAGTGTCGCAGTCCGCGTGGCGGCGCCGCCGCATGCTTCCGGTTCCGGTTCTGGTCCGGGCGGCCGGCGGAGGGAAGGTAATTCCGGTTATGGATCCGGTTCAAGGTCGGGCGGCCGACGGGGAGGGCGCAATTCCGGTTCCGGTTCCGGTTCCGGTTCCGCTTTGGGCGGCCGGCGACGGGGGGGGAAGAGTTCTGGTTCCAGTTTTGGTTCTGGTCCAGGGTCAAGAACTGGACCAATTCAAATTTGAGTTCACGTTCTGTTCCGGTTCCAGTTCTGGTTCGGGGTCGGGTTCTGGCAAGTCGGGTGTGAATTCCCGTTCAATTCCGGTTCCAGTCCCAGGTCGGGAACTGGCCAAATTCAGCTTTGAAGTCACGTTCAGTTCCGGTTCCGGTTCTGGTTCGGGGTCGGGAACTGGAACTGCTCAGGTTTGAGTTCACGTTCAATTCCGGTTCTGGTTCTGGGTGGATCGGGAACTGGACCAATTCAAATTTGAAATCACGTCCAGTTCCGGTTCTTGTTCTGGCTCGGGATCATGAGTTAACTGGCCCAATTCAAGTTTGAAATCCAGTTCAATCCGGTTCTGGTTCCGGGTCGGGAACCCTGCCCACATCGAATTGGAGTTCCCGTTCCATTCTGGTTCCGGTTCTGGTTCCGAGTCCTACAGTTCAGGTTTGAGTTCACGTTCAAGTCCCTTTCCGGTTCTGGTGCGGGGTCGCGAACTGGAAGAATTCAGGTTGAATTTAACGTTGATTTCCAGTTCCAATTCTGGCTCGGGGTCGCGAACTGCATGGACCTGTTCGAATTTGAGTTCCGGTTCAGTTTCGGTTCCGGTTATGGTTCGGGGTCGGGAACTGGACCAACTCAAATTTGAGTTCACGTTCAATTCCGGTTCCGCTTCTGCTTCGGGGTCGTGAGCTGGCCCATCTCCGGTTTGAGTTCCCGTTCGGTTCCGGTTCTGGTTCCGGGTCGGGAACTGGCCAAAAACAAGTTTCACGTCTGGTTCCATTCTGGTCCCGGGTCGGGAACTGGCCCAATTCAGGCTTGAGTTCACGTTCTGTTTCGGTTCCGGTCCTGGTTCGGGGTCGGGAACTGGACCAGTTCAAATTTGAGTTCACGTTCAGTTCCGGTTCTGGCTCTGGTTCGGGGTCGTGAGCTGGCCCATCTCCGGTTTGAGTTCACGTTTAGTTCAGGTTCAAGTTCCGGGTCGGGAACTGGAGGTTTGAGTTCCGGTTCAATTCCGGCTCCGGGTCGGAACTGGCCCAGTTCAGATTTGAGTTCACGTTCAGTTCCGGTTCCGGTTCCGGCTCTGGCTAGGGGACGGGAACTGTTCGAGTTTGACTTTACGTTCACTTCCGGTTCCGGTTCTGGTTCGGGGTCGTGAACTGGACCAATTCAAATTTGAGTTCACGTTCAATTCCAGTTCCGGTTCTGGTTCGGGGTCGTGAACTGGCCCTGCAGTTCCGGTGTGAGTTCCCGTTCGGTTCTGGTTCAGGTTACAGGTCGGGAACTGGCCAAAAACAAGTTTAACTTCCGGTTCCATGGTTCCAATTCGGGAACTGGCCCAGTTCAAATTTAAGTTCACGTTCTGTTCCAGTACCGGTTCTGGTTTGGGGTCGGGAACTGGACCAGTTCAAATTTGAGTTCACGTTCTGTTCCAGTTCCAGTTCTGGCTCGGGGTCGTGAACTGGACCAGTTCAAGTTTGAATCCAAGTTCAGTTCCGGTTCCGGTTCTGGTTCGGGGTCGGGAACTGGACCAGTTCAAGTTTGAGTTCACGTTCAATTCCAGTTCTGGTTCTGGTTCGGGGTCGTGAACTGGACCCATTCAAAGTTCAGTTTACGTTCATATCTGGTTCCGGCTCTGGTTCGGGGTCGGGAACTGAACCAATTCAAGTTTGAGTTCACGTTCTGTTCCGGTTCCGGCTCTGGTTCGGGGTGGTGAGCTGGACCAATTCAATTTTCAGTTCACGTTCAGTTCCAGTTCGGGTTCTGGTTCGGGGTCGTGAACTGGCCCAGTTCGGGTGTGAGTTCCCGTTCGGTTCCGGTTCCGGTTCCGGTTCCGGGTCGGGAACTGGCCAAAAACAGGTTAGAGGTTAGAGTTCTGGTTCAATTCCGGTTCCGGGTCGTGAACTGTGGACCAATTCAAATTTGAGTTCATGTTCTGTTCCGGTTCCAGTTCTGGTTCGGGGTCGTGAACTGGACCAGTTCAAGTTCGAATTCAAGTTCAGTTCGGGTTCCGGTTTGGGTGGGGTTCGTAATAATGGCGCACGGCATCTCAGAGCTCAGAGTTGCGAGGATGTCTCAGGCGAGACGGGCCGGACCACCTGGCGCAGGGCATCTCAGAGCTGAGAGTTGCGAGGATGTCTCAGGCGAAACGGGCTGGACCAAGTCGCGCGCAGCATCTCCGAGGTCAGAGTTGCGAGGATGTCTCAGGCGAAATGGTCTGGACCACCTCTTGCGCGGCATCTGGGAGCTCAGAGTTTGGAGGATGTCTCAAGCGAAACGGGCCAGACCAACTCGCGCGCGGCATCTCAGAGCTTAGAGTTTCGAGGACGTCTCAAACGAAACGGGCCAGGCCACCTCTCGCGCGGCATCTCGGAATGCAGAAGTGCGAGGATGTCTCAAGTGAAACAGGCCGGACCACCCCTTGGGCGGCATCTCGGGGCTCAGAGTTTGGAGGATGTCTCAAGCGAAACGGGCTGGACCACTTCTCGCGCGGCATCAGAGAGCGCAGAATTTGGAGGATGTCTCAGGCACAACGGGCCGGACCACCTCGCGCACGGCATATCAAGGCTCAGAGTTTGGAGGATGTCTCAGGCGAAACGGGCCGAACCACCTCTTGCGCAGCATCTCGGAGCCCAGAGTTTCGAGGATGTCTCAGGCGATATGGGCTGGACCACCTGGTGCGCGGCATCTCAGAATTCAGAGTTGCGAAGATCTCTCAGGCGAAACGCGCCGGACCACCTCGCGCACGGAATCTCAGAGCTGAGAGTTTGGAGGATGTCTCGGGCGATACGGGCCGGACCACCTCTCGCGCGGCATCTGGGAGCTCAAAGTTTGGAGGATGTCTCAGGCGAAACGGGCCGGACCACCTCTCGCGCGGCATCTGGGAGCTCAGAGTTTCGCGGATGTCTCAGGCGAACTGGGCCGGACCACCTCTTGCGCGACATCTAGGAACTGAGAGTTTGGAGGATGTCTCAGGCGAAACGGCCAATGCCGGCCAACTCAGAAACGAGAATTGTGAGGATGTCTCAAACGAAACGGCCCGGACCATCAGATTTTTGTGAGGATGTCTCTGCTCGTCTTTTTCCCGGCCAGAATTAGATTCTATCACAACAGTACCCTTTTCAGCAAGCTGTTAGGGGGAACAGATCCCCAAAATTTCCGAAAATGGTTAAAAAATCCTCCCCAGACTATCTTTGGACTATTTTTGAATATCTGTAGAGGGACAGGCCCGACTGGGATCGAGGGAGCGAGGGCGGCCCCGCCCCGCGGCGGCCCAGGGGCGTGCCCGAGAGCCCCGCCCCGGAGCGCAGAGCCGGGAGGGGCCGGAGGGGGAGGGTGTGCACGCCAGGGAGGGGGCCGGACGTCGGGCGTCTCGAAAAAATCGAGACGGAGGCTTTTCGTCGTTTTCGGCCTCTCAGGGCCCTCGCTGGGCCTCGGGGCCGTCAAAAACCGACTCAGGACGAAAAACCGGTCTCGGGGAAAGGGTCGGGACTTCCGGGGACGCCGTCCCGCAAAAATCAGGAGGTCGCATGTCTGGGGAGGCATGGGAGGTGGAGGGCTGTGGGAGGGGGGGGAGGGGGCGAAGGGAGGGAGAGGGGCAGCTTGGGGGGGAAGCAGGGGCGGGAAAGGGAGAGGGGAGGAAGGGCCAAGCTAGGTGCGCTCGCGCCTCATCTGACATCCTGTCTCTCCCTCCCATGCCCTCCCATGGCGCTGATCTTCCTCCATCCGCGGACGCGTGTCATACTTGACCTGCGACGCCCACAGAAAGACCATTTCGTGTTATGCGCAATCAAGAAACGGGAAGCTGCGCGCCACAGGAGGAAGAGGAGTTGGTGGGTGAGCGGGGAAGATGAGCTGGAGGACAAGGAGGATGACGAACAACAGCAGCAGGAACAAAGCGGACGGGTTGGGAGGACAAGGAGGGCCAGGGGAAGGCGGAGGAGAGGATTTGAGGGGGGGGACCCCGCCCCAGCCCTGTCCCGCAGGGACTGCCAGGGGAGGGAGAAGTGGGGGGCGAAGGGGGGGGACATGGAAGGGGGGGGCATGGGAGGGGGGGGCTCTGGGAGGGGGAGGGCTCTGGGAGGGGGGGGGGCCAAGGGAGGGAGAGGGGCATCTTGGCGGGGGGAAGCTGGGGCGGGAAAGGGAGGGGGAGGAAGGGCCGCGCTAGGGGCATCTCGGAGGGGGAGCAGGGATGGGAAAGGGAGAGGGAGGGCGGGCGGAGGGGAGAGGCCTCCGCCGGCGCCCCCGCTCGGCGCCGCCAGCCCCTCGGGCGATCACGGCGCGAAGCAGGCCCTGTCCCCGGCGCCCTCCAGCGTGCGTAGGCACTCCCCGGAGTCGGCGTCCCAGATCCTCGCCGTCCCGTCGTCCGAGGTGGTCAGCACCCGCTGCCCGTCCGCCGAGAACACGGCGGAATTCACGCGGTCCCGGTGGCCCTCCAGCGTCCGCAGGCACTGCCCGGAGTCCGCGGCCCAGATCTTCGCCGTCTCGTCCTCCGAGGCGGTCAGCACCCGCTGCCCGTCCGCCGAGAACACGGCAGACGTCACGTCGAACCGGTGGCCCTCCAGCGTGCGCAGGCACGCCCCGGAGTCCGCGGCCCAGATCTTCGCCGTCATGTCCCGCGAGGCGGTCAGCACCCGCTGCCCGTCCGCCGAGAACACGGCGGAGCACACGTCGAACCGGTGGCCCTCCAGCGTGCGCAGGCACGCCCCGGAGTCCGCGGCCCAGATCTTCGCCGTCCGGTCCTCCGAGGCGGTCAGCACCCGCTGCCCGTCCGCCGAGAACACGGCGGACGTCACGTCGCGCCGGTGGCCTGCCAGCGTCCGCAGGCACTCCCCGGAGTCCACGGCCCAGATCTTCGCCGTCTCCCACGAGGCGGTCAGCACCCGCTGCCCGTCCGCCGAGAACACGGCGGAGCACACGGGGCCCTCGTGGCCTGCCAGGGTGCGCAGGCACTCCCCGGAGTCCGCGGCCCAGATCTTCGCCGTCATGTCCCACGAGGCGGTCAGCACCCGCTGCCCGTCCGCCGAGAACACGGCGGAGCACACGTGGCGCCAGTGGCCCTCCAGCGTCCGCAGGCACTGCCCGGAGTCCGCGGCCCAGATCTTCGCCGTCCGGTCCTCCGAAGCGGTCAGCACCCGCTGCCCGTCCGCCGAGATCACGGCGGACCTCACGGGGAGGAACCGGTGGCCCTCCAGGGTGCGCAGGCACTCCCCGGAGTCGGCGTCCCAGACCTTCGCCACCGCCCAGGCGCACGTCACTATGCGGCGCCTCCTGATGACCACGAGGGTCAGCTCGCTGCCGCCCTGGACCCCGATCTCGCCCAGCGTCGCGTCGCCGCACAGCTCCGCCCCACCGAACAGGATGCGTAGTTTGTGGCCGGCCGCCTTCTCCTGCTCGGGGACCGCCGCGAGGAGGTCGCCCAGCCGCCACGACGGGTCGGCCTCCCTTCCCGGGAGGGTTTCCCTCCTCCTCCTCCTCCGCCTCCTCCTCCTCCTCCTCCTCCTCCTCGTCCTCCTCTCTCCTCTTCGCCCGCGCCGCCTCGCCCTGCCCCCCGCGCCGTGCTCGTGGAAGCGCGGGCGCCGAGCAGCCGGCCCCGCGCAGCCCGGAGCGGCCAGGCGTTCACCGAGGCAGGCCCCCGGCAGCTGTCCAGCCTCGGGGCGCCTTCCAGCGGCCGCGCCCCGCCGAGAGCCTCCCAGGGGCTCCCCGGATCGCCCCGCGCGGCCGCTGGAGGCCCGAGTTGCAGTTGTGGCGGGGCACATGGCTCGTCGGCGGTGCATCGCCGATAGATCGGCGAATTCGGCTTCCGAAGGCAGATCCGCGCGCTCATGGGCGGGGGCGAGCTGTCGGTGGGCGTCGATGCTGCCCCCGTCTCCTGAGGCTGTCGCCCCTGGCCCCCCTTCTCCTGAGGCTGTCGCCCCTGGCCCACCCCGGCGGGGAGGCCCCCCCAGACGCGCGCGGAGGAAATGCGCAGAGGATGCGCGCGCGCAGGCAGGCGCGCAGAGGAGCGCGCAGAGGCAAGCGCGTGGAGATGCGCGTAGGCGCGCAGAGGCGAGCGAGGAGCTTGCGCAGACGCAGACGCGCACAGAGGAGACGCGCGCAGGCGCCTGGAGGCGCGCGCAGAGGCGCGCGCAGACGCGCGCAGAGGCGCGCAGAGGCCCGTGGAGAGGCGCGCAGGCGCGCAGTCGCGCGCGCGGGGGTGCGCAAGCGCGCAGCACACGCGCGCAGACGCGCGCCGAGGCGCGCAGAGGCGCACAGAGCAGACGCGCGCAGCCGCGCAGAGGCTCGCGCAGAGGAGGCGCGCGCAGGCCCGCAGAGGCGCGCGCAGTATGACGCGCAAGGGCACCGCAGACGCACGCAGAGGCGCGTGGGGGCGCAGAGGCGCGCGCGAGCGCACCACAGACGCACGCGGAGGCGCGCCGCAGAGGCGCGCGCAAGCGCGCAGGGGCGCAGAGGCGCAGGGGCAAGTGGGGGGCGCAAATCCCTTTCGGCCCCTCTCCCCGCCCCTCTCCGGCGCCGCGCAGCACATGTGCAGGCTGCCCGGAGCTGGCGGCGCTGGGCCAGCAGCACGCCGAGACACTGGATGCTCGACCTCACTCGACCATGGCGTGCTGGCGTCCTTCCCGCGCGGAGGCTGGCCTGCACCGTGCGCCTGTACCGTGCTCGGGGATCTTCTGACCCGGGTCAACCCAGACCCGGGCTAGCAGGAAACCAAAAAACTGCAATGCAGGAACAAAAAACTGCAATGCAGGTCTTCGCAGACCTGGGTCAGCCCATGTGCGCGGCCGCCTCGCGGCCACGAGCGGCTCGCTGACCCGGCCCGGGTCAGCCAGAGGGGCTCGTCGCAGGATCCTGCAGGATCCAGTGCCGTGGCTGAGCCCCGTTTGCATTGACCCCCGTCTCTTGAGCCCCGACGTCTCTTGAGCCCCGACGTGCGCGAGTGCGGCCCGTGCCAGGTGCCCCGGCCACGCCCGAGCGTGCCGGCCGCCGCGGCCGAGCTCAGGGGGGCGGCCCGTTGCCTGCCAAGCGGCGGCGGCCACCGCGCGCCTCGCGCGCCCAGCGTCAGGTCGGGCCTGGCCACCGATCGTGCTACGGCCGCCGATCGTGCCGGCCACCGACCGCGCCACGGCGGCGGCCACCGTGCGCCTCGTGCGCCCAGCGTCGGGTCGGGCCTGTCCCCCCACAGGCGGATCCAGGACGAAACATAAAAAACTATCCCACAATGCCCGACTATGTGTTGACCTCGACCGTTTTTGAGATACCCGGAAATTGCCCGACAATGGTCCCAGCTATCCCAAATGCTCCCCCCCCCAAAAAAAACAAACTCGAAAACTCGTACCCAGACTATGTTTTGACTGTTTTTGAATATCCCTCCTGGAGAGGGGCAGGCCCGACTCAAGCCCGGCGGCCTACGCACTGCAGGCAGCGAGACGCCTGCAGGGGCCAGGCGCGGATCGCCCCCGCCCGCGCCGCCCCCCTTCCCGCTCCTCCTCCCTCTCCTCCTGGCCTATCCGCCACCCTGCCCTGGGCACGCAGTGGGCGCGCCCTCGGGCCCTGTGCCGAATCTCCATTGGAGGCCTGGACATGGGCACCAACACCAACACAGGGGGTCTGCCTCCACAGGGGGAAGATGATCCTAGACTTCGGTGTTGTTGGTGGTCAGATCTCGGCCACCCTGGAAACCAGAATCATTGCCACCATCGCCGAGATCGGGATCGTCTTCCCCCGTTGGAGGCACACCGCCGATATTGGTGTCGGTGTCAGCCTCTGGGGGGTCTCTGTTAGGGGCCCGGGCCCCTAACAGGCGGACCTTGGACGAAAATCAAACAGACCCCCCAAAGTACACCAAAAATATACCGAAAAGGGTCCAAACCCAGACATGCGACGTCCCGATTTTTTCAGGACGGCGTCCCTGGAAGTCCCGACCCTTTCCCCGGGACCGGTTTTTCATCCTGAGTCGTTTTTCGATGGCCACGAGGCCCGACGAGAACCCCCCTGGGCCGAAAATTGCCACAAAACCTGTCGTCTGGATTTTTGCTTACGACGCGAGCATATCTGGGAACCACCGTCCCCAGACTATTTGGGCGCCCCTTTCCTGTCCTCCTCGCTATCATCCTCACCACCAGCACCAGCACCAGCACCATCACCATCACATGCATCGCCACCATCACCACCATCAACAGCAACACAATCACCATCACCATCCTTCTCCTGCCCCCTCCTTTTTGACGCTGGCGAGACTTCGAGCGTGATGCTGGCGGCGCTCGTCCTCCTCCTTCGCCCCAGGCTATTTCTTATCCTCCTCCTCCTCCTCCTCCTCCTCCTCCTCCTCCTCCTCCTCCTCCTCCTCCTCCCTCCGCCCCCCCTCCCCTCCCCCCCGCCTCCTCCTCCTCCCTCCTCCTCCTCTCTCCTCCTCCTCCTCTCCTCCTCCCTCCTCGTCCTCCTCGTCCTCCTCGTCCTCCCCTCATCCTCCTCCTCCTCCTCCTCCTCCTCCTCCTCCTCTTCCTCCTCCTTCTGCTTCGGGGCTCTTTTGCCCCCAATCCTCGCACCTCCCGGGGCACGGCGCGTGCCCCCCCCCCCGGGGGGCTCCAAGAGAGGCGACGTCGCGCGACGGCCCCCAGGGGGGCCCTCGAGGCGGCCCCCAGGCGGGCCCTCGAGGCGGCCCACAGGGGGCGATCGGGCGCTCCCATGTGAGCCGCCTCGAGGGCCCCCCTGAGCGCTCCCCGACGCCAAGTTGGAAAACGCTGAAAACTCCCAGGCCTGCATCGGGTCTGGCGCCCCTCCTCCTCCTCCTCCTCCTCCTCCTCCTCCTCCTCCTCCCCTCCTCCTCCCTCCTCCTCCTCCTCCTCCTCCTCCTCCTCCTCCTCCTCCTCCTCCCCCTCCTCCTTCGGGGCCCTTTTGCCCCCAATCCTCGCACCTCCCGGGGCCCGGCGCGTGCCCCCCCCGGGGGGCTCCAAGAGAGGCGTCGTCGCGCGACGGCCCCCAGGGGGGCCCTCGAGGGAAAACGCTGAAAACTCCCAGGCCTGCATTGGGTCTGGCGCCCCTCGTCCTCCTCCTCCTCCTCCTCCTCTCCTCTCCTCCTTCCCCTCCTCCCCCTCCTCCCTCTCCTCCTCCTCCTCCTCCTCCTCCTCCTCCTCCTCCTCCTCCTCCTCCTCCTGCTGCTTCGGGGCCCTTTTGCGCCCAATCCTCGCACCTCCCGGGGCCCGGCGCGTGCCCCCCCCGGGGGGGCTCCAAGAGAGGCGCCGTCGCGCGACGAATTCTCTTCGGGCCCACCAGGGGGGGGGCCCAAGAGAGAGAGGCCCTCGAGGCGGCCCCCAGGGGGGCCCTCGAGGCGGCCCACAGGGGCGCCCCAGCACGCCCAAGAGAACCTCGAACCGGCCCGCGGGGCCCCCAAGACGCCACGAGGGTGCTCCACGAGGCGTCCCGGGAGGGCCCCAAGAGGCAAGCAGCATGCTCACCGCAGGTGTTCGACGGTTTGGGGCCCTCTCGCCGTTTCGGCTTTCCGACGCTCCAAGACGGCTCAAGAGGCCCCACAGATCGCTCCCCGACGACCCGAGAGGCCAGCAGGAGGCCCCCAAGTCATGGGACGAACTGGGAAAAGAGCCTCCCAGGAGTCCTCCCAAACAGCCCCCAGGATGCCCCAAAACTATCTCCGAGAAGCCCCCGGTGAGATCATGAACACAATCGGCACCGGCATAAACCTCCGGAGGTCCGCGCGGATTGCTCGGCTCGGCGCTGGCCCCCCCTCCCCGGCGCGCGGAGAAAGCCAGGGGCGGCGCCGGGGGCGCCGCCAAGGGGGGCCCCGAGAAAGAGGAGGAGGAAGAGGAGGAGGAGGAGGAGGAGCAGGAGGAGGAGGAGGAGGAGGAGGAGGAGGAGGAGAGAGGAGGAGGAGGAGGAGGAGGAGGAGAGGGGAGGAGGAGGAGAGGAGGAGGAGGAGAGGGGAAGGAGAGAGGAGGCGGAGAGAGGGGGGGGATGAGGATGAGGATGGGATGAGGAGGGGATGAGGATGTAGGATGAGGATGAGGACATGAGGATGAGGAGGAGGAGGGGAGGAGGAGGAGGAGAGGAGGAGAGGAGGAGAGGAGGGAGGGAGGGAGGAGGGAGGGAGGGAGGAGCAGGAGAAGGAGGAGGAGGGAGGAGGAGGAGGAGGAGGATATGGAGGACGAGGAGGAGGAGGAGGACGACGAGGACGAGGAGGAGGAGGAGGAGGAGGAGGAGGAGGAGGAGGAGGAGGAGGAGGATACGAGGAGGAGGAGGAGGAGGAGGAGGAGGAGGAGGAGGAGGAGGAGGAGGAGGAGGAGAAATAGGAGGAGGGAGAGGAGGAGGAGGAGGAGGAGGAGGAGGAGGAGGACGAGGAGGAGAAGGAGGAGGAGGAGGAGGAGGAGGAGGAGGGAGGAGGGAGGAGGGAGGAGAACCTCTGTGATGAGATCGTTGGGGGATGGGCGATCGGGTGCCCGAGGGAAAAAGCTCCCCCCGAGGCCTCCACGGCCGCGAGCTCGCGCCCGCTGCACGCCACCACCGAGACGAGCATGCTGGCCCGGGTGCCGAGATGCCAGATGTCGGACGATGTGAGCTGTTCGGCCCCGCGGCCGCCGCCGGTCCTCATGTTCTCGGCCCCGTGGGGGCGGGCCCGGGGCGGACAACTGCTCCCCATGGGGGCAGCGGTCGGGACCCGGCCGCGCACTGAAAGAGCACGTCGTCGGATGCCTGCGGGCCCGGCCGAGGGCGGGGCGAGGGCAGCTCCGCTCGCGCAGCTCGGGCCAGAACAGCACCGCGGGCTGTACACCCAGGAGGCATCTGCGGTCAGGAACTGTTGCTCAGCGGGTGGCCGCGGCGGCCCTGGCGACGCGCCACATGCCTCGCGCGAGCGCACAGCGCGAGGGCTCCGCCCCCCGCGGCGGGAGGCCGGAGAGAGCTCGGGGCGTCGACGCCTGGGGCGTCGGAAGCGGGCCGCGCGCTGCGCCGAGGTGCGGCGGGCCAGGACTGTCGAAGCGACACGCGGAGCCGAAGCCTCGAGGGGCCCTCGAGGGGCCTGCGCTGGGCCCCGGCCAGGACCGTCAACAAAGGACTCGGGATGAGAAACCGGTCTCGGGGACCCCGCATCGAAAAAATCACGACATCGGATCTCTGGGACCGTCACCCGGGCCAAGGCCCTCCCGGGCCCGGGCAGGGCGGTGGTGCGGCGGTGCCTTCGGCGGGCGCACGCGTGTTCCATGGCGGCTCCCGGAGGCGCCCCCCGCGCGAAGTGTTTCCGAGGCCCCCCACGAGTCTCACCGGCGTCCGGAGGCTTCCAAAAGAGGGGGGGCGGGAGCAGGAGGAGCAGCAGCAGTCCGAGACCACCTGGCCGGTCGCTTGCCACGGCGGCCAGCCCCGAGGCCGCCTCCCGCCGGTGGGCCCTATCGGCGTGGGAGGGGCCCAGACCCCCGACGTCGTGCTTCCTTCGCAACGTCGACCCCATGGGTCGTCCCTTGACGGCCGCCGGGGGCTGGGCGAGGGCGCCCTCTGCAGGGGCCGAAAATGGCGGAAGACCTTCCGTCGCGATGGCTTCCCGGCGCGAGGGGGGTCCTATAGGAGCGGGGAGGGCGAGGCGGAGAGGCAGCCCAGACCCCCGACGTAATGATTTGTTCATTACGTCGACCCCCAGAGGTCCCGACCCTTCCCCCATGACCGGCTTTGCATCCTGAGTCGTTTTGTGGACGCTCCCGGGGCCCGGCGAGGGCCCCAGGAGGTTGACAGGAGAAACCTCCCGCCATAATGTTTTCATCACTCGAGGGGGTCTGGGAGGCAGCGTGGGGTGCGCGAGGCCAGGGCCGAAGAACCCCAGAGGTCCGACGCGCGGCCCCCGTCGACGCGGGGGCCCCGGAGAGATACCGTCCCCTGCCCCAGGGCCAGCCTCGTCGCCCTGGGCCGCTCCCCGTCCCAGGCCGTTCCCCGTCCCAGGCCGTTCCCCCCGGGGGCCGAAAGCGTTTTTTTTTTTTGCGATGACAAAACGTGTGATCCCAGGACGGAGGTTTTTTTGAAAAAATCGAGACGGAGGTTTTTCAAATTGTTCGGCCTCGAGGGGCCCTCAATGGGCCCCGGGACCATCCAAAAACGACTCGGGATGAGAAACGAGGCCCGGGGAATGGGTCGAGACTTCTGGGGACGCCGTCCTGAAAAAAATCACGATTTCGGATCTCTGGGGACGTGATCGCGTCGTGAAAAAATCAGGACAGGTTTTTCGTCGGCCACGGCCTCAAGAGGCCCTCGCCAGGCCCCGGGGCCGCCAAGAAACGGCTCAAGATGAGGAGCCGGTCCTGGGGAAACGGTCCCTTATATACAAAACAAAAAGGAAACAAAACAACAAAAAAATCGCCTTGAGCTTCTCAGGGATCTTCTGGCCCGGGTCAATCCAGACCCGGGTCAGCCAGGCCTTGCAAGATCCTGCAAGATCCTGTACCCAAACCCAGGTCAATGCGAAGGACCCTGCAGGATCCTGCACCCAAGCCCAGGTCAATGCGACCCTGGCCCTGCAGGATCCTGCAAGATCGGGTGCTCTGGCTGACCCCCGTTTGCATTCCCGGACATGCGACGTCCTGATTTTTTCAGGACGGCGTCCCCGGAAATCCAGACCCTTTCCCCGGGACCCGTTTTTCATCCTGAATCGTTATTTGACAATCCTGGGGACCGGCGCGGGCCCCCCAGGGGCCGAAAACAGCGAAAAACTGTCGCCCTGATTTTTTTACGACGCGATCCCGCTTGCATTGACCCCCGTCTCGCTGGGAGGTCCGGGGAGGGCGCTCTGGCTGACCCCCGTTCGCATTGATCCCCGTCTCTTGGGCCCCGGGCTTCTCAGCTCGCTGGCGATCCGGGGAGGGCAACTTGCCCTCCCCGGCGCCCCAGCAAATTTCGGCCTCGAGGAGCCCTCGCCGGGCCCCGGGGCCGTCAAGAAGCGACTCGGGATGACAGGCCGGCCCCGGGGAAAGGGTCGGGACTACCGGGGGCGCCGTCCTGAGAAAATCAAGACGTCGCACGTCTGGGATATACGGTGAGGGCAGTGGACAAGGAGCCCTTAGAGAAGGAGTCCAGGGTCTGGAAGCCAGTGGGATTCCAATCGCGGCTTGGCCATGGATATCACCGCCGCCCTCATCAGACAAGGAAGCCCCCAGGGTCTGCCTTAACCAACGCCCCCACCGCAGTCGGGGCAAGGAGAGGGGCGCCCTGGGCGGGGGAAGCAGGGGCAGGACAGGGAGAGAGAGAGAGAGGAAGGGCCACGCTGGTAACCCAGAGATCCGATGTCGTGACTTTTTCCGTACGGGGTCCCCAGAAGTCTCGACCCATTCCCCGGGACCGGTTTCTCGTCCTGAGTCGTTTTTCGACGGTCCCAGGGCCCGGCGAGGGCCCCTCGAGGCCGAGAATTGGGAAAAATCTCCGTCTCGACTTTTGTCAACGCGTTGGATCTCTGGGTCGCAAAACGAAGGTCGGCCGACTGGAGGGGGAGGCTGTGCACGCAAGGGAGGGGGCCGGACATCGGGCGTCTCGAAAAAATCGAGACGGAGGCTTTTCGTCGTTTTCGGCCTCTCAGGGCCCTCGCTGGGCCTCGGGGCCGTCAAAAACCGACTCAGGACGAAAAACCGGTCTCGGGGAAAGGGT